GATGGAGAGATGGATGGAGAGATGGATGGATGGAAAGATGAATGGATGGACAAACAGATGAATGAATGGATGGATGGATGGATGGAGAGATGGATGAATGGATGGATGGATCTTTATTGACAATGTACACCAAGAACAACACGACATAAATGAAACTGTAGGAAATGCTTCCATCAGTCACGTGAAGAAATAAACGTTTGCATTGGCCTAAACTGTGTAACAGTTTTTTGACTTAAAGAAAAATATCTTGAATTGTTTAGTAAACATTTTTGTAAACATTCTTATTTACGTATTATTCAGCTCCTTTATAAAACAGAACTGATCACGTGATTTAAATAATCCCCATATAAAACAAAAGGAAAGTTTGAATAAGACATTGCATCTCTCTTGATGTTTTTCAAACAACCTTTAAAGTCCAGAAGCAGACCTCTCACACACATAGAAATACACACACACACACACGGTCCTGTATGTCGCACGCATCCAGACGCAGTTAAAAACAGCACAAACACGTGGCTCTCCCTCAGGATGTAAGGAAGTGAGGCCTTCCTCCATCTCTGACCCTGAGCACATTGTGACTGATGTCTCTCTGCCAGCACCTCACCAGTTTCCCTCTCCCAGCGGAGCATTCTGGGAGTTTGCACTAAAATAACAATCCTCCCACAAACTAACAGTTCATCACATGGTGACACCACAACAAAGTGTTGAAGTGAATTCTGGTTTGACTTTGTGACTCCCAGTTGTTTTCACGTCCAGGCTGCTCTAAAGAGATCTGACCGCACGCAGTGCCTCGTTGGATTTATGTCTCCAAAAGGCTCCACGTGCAGGATCTGCCAGAGGAATGCTCTCTGATTATATAGGAAGATACCGAGCGGCAAAACGCTTCAGTTTGCTTTGCTTTCTGCAGCACTCCAGCTCGCTCGTGCTCCGAAGAACTCCTCCGGTACTCGTCGGCTCCGTCACCGAACACTGTTGACACAGCTGGGAGACATTCAGCCGCCACAAACCAGAAGGATCCAGGAGGCGCAGGTGCAGATGGAGATGATAAAAAGCCCTGTCAAATGCTGACCTCACCCAAAGCCACTCAGAGTCCATCAGACTTCCTTCCTGTGCCCTCGACCAAGGCAACAACCGAAGCAGGCCGGCACAGAAAGGCTCTGCATGAAGGAGATGACCCGGAGGAGGAGAAACCTTGTTTGGACTGCAGTCTTCCAGCAACGTGAGCTTCAGTCCTGCAACTTCATCAGCTTTTATCACATTCAACACTTTAAGCTTTAAACGCTTGGTTTGCCTTTAGAGTCAGAGATCTTTCTGCGTGATGGTCCCTGATCACTCTGTCAGCATGTGACATAGACCTGAGTGTGCACCGCTTCTGGACAGATGATGAATATTTGCATGACTTTTTATTCACGAGCACAGATTATAAATTCTGTCTTAAGTTTACTCATATTGTGCACAGAATGCATGCCAAACCTGAACATGATATGTTCCTGTTCTCTTGCTTTTTATTTACAAAATCCACAGAATGCTGCCTTTGGCTTCTTCAGGAGACTGAATCAGTGCATGTTAGAATTTGACCCAGTTGTTTCACCCACATCTACTTTACCGGTCTAATGGGATGATTTTTTAAATGTTGGCTTTAATGCATGTTCCAGTCAGATTTTAGTGCAACTAGAACTAAATAGGAAAAAATATATTTGTTAAATGTACTGTAACCTAACAGCTGTACAGAAGAGGATTAGGCCCACGGTGCAATAATTTATTTTCCCTAAATTCAGAAAAAAACAGAATTCTGAGAAAAAAAGTCAGAATTACATAGAAGGATTCTGACCTTTTTCTCAGATTTCTGACTTTTTTCTCATAGTTCTGACTTTTTTTCCTCAGATCTCTGACTTTAATCACAGAATTCTGAGTTTAATCTCAGATTTCTGATCCCCCCCCCCCTCAAAATTGTGACTTTAATCCCAGAATTTGGACTGTAATCTCAGAATTCTGATTTTTTTTTCTCAGAATTAAGGAAATATATATATATATATATATATATATATATATTTGCACCGTGGCCCTAATCCTCCTCCGTACAGCTGTCGCAGATGACAGTCCATGTGATTTTACTTTTTGAGAGTATCCTCTGCATCCATCCATATTTTTCCCCATGTGGGCACGACGACACTTGTCCAACTTTACAGAGGCAGCTCCTTCAAAGTAATTTTGTGTGAAAACCTTTTTGGTTGAAGACAAGTGGCCACAGGCAGAAAAGGAACTACATCTTTGATCACTTTATGCTAATAAAAGATGCATGTGCTTTAAAAATGATCGTCTGTTATGAGTTTCATTCTAAGATTGCTGCTGAATGCACCTTCCTGTGTGCTGGTTGTGTTTTGGTTTGCAAAGCTGCAGGAAACAATTTTCAGGCTGTGCTTTAGATGAGACTGCCCCCTTGTGTCTTCTTTGGAGTCTGTCTTTGCTCACATGAGGACATCTGTGCAGACATCTCATATTCCAACACTTGAACATGCCTCGTCTGTGTTTAGATATTTGCACGAGTCGTCACGTTTTCCCTTCAACACGTTGTGTTCATCGTGTCTGTGTGTGTTGTATGATGTCTCTGTGTGTTCTGTGTTTGCAGCCACACAGATTGTGTGTCGAATGATCCACAGTAAGTCCGTTTCTACAGACAGAATCGTGCCAGGGGGTCATTTCACCTGTTTGTTGACAGAAGGGGGGGTACAGAAGAGAAAGATACATTAAATCAGTTTCTTTTTATGTTCAAACAGTTCAGACGTCAGGTTTTTAACTATGTTCACACATGAACTCCAGGCAGTGTTGGAAACTAATTATTTACAGAAATGTATCCGTTTGTTTTTTTTCTCATTAAGTTTTATAACTGAATAAAAAAACTTTAATCATTCATGTTGTGCTAAAGTAGATTAAACTAGAGAAAATGCATTTCCTGGGCAATGCAGTGCGAATGTGTATTGCTGAAGAACTTGCTGAAAAACGGCTAAAAGTATCTTAAAAACATGAATTGTAGCTGAAATGAAAGAACAAGCCTTAATTTGCAGAAGAAAATAGAAAGAACACTTTTTACTGAATTAGGTTTAAATGAACAGAAATTAGCACAAAAAATAGAAAATTAGCTAAAAAAGCTGAAATAGGCGAAAAGTAGCTAAAAAGGCTGAAAAAGCTTAAACTACCAGAAGGAAGCAGAAACAGCTAAAATGGGCTAAAAATGTAGAGTTCTCTGAAAAGGCTAAAATTATCTTAAAAACAGCTGAAATAGAAAAAATAAAAGCTGATAGGAGCATAACAAGCTGAAATTACCATAAACAAGTTAATTAGGTTTAAAGTACCAAAAATTGCCATGAAAAACTTGAATTTATCTGAAAACAGCTAAAAAAGGAGCTGAAGAACAAGCTTAAATAAGCAGAAGAAAGCAGAAAGAACGTTTGCACAATTAGACTGAAAGAAGCAGAAATGAGAACAAAAGTGAAACTTATCTGAAAAAAGATGAAATTAACAAAAACAAGCAGCTGAAAAATAGTTAAAATATAAGAAAGTTTAAACAGATGGGAGTGGAGAGAGCACATTTTTGCAGAATGAGGCTGAAAATAGTTGAACAGAGTGCAAAAACTGAGGAATTGGCTGAAAAAGCTAAAATTGACAAACTGCTAAATAGTAGCTGAAATAGCAGAAAAAGCTGAAACTTGCATAAATAATCTGAAAGGAGCTTAACAAGCTGAAATTAGCAGAAAGAAGTTAATAGAAGCACAAAAGATGCTGTAGTTTAACAGAAATAATCTGAAAGGAGCACAAACAGCTGAAAAAAACAACTGAAATTAGCTAAAAGTAGCTGCAAAAAAGTTTAAATTTGCAGAAGGAAGCTGAAAGAAGCTGAAACAGAACAAATTGTGAAAGGAGCAGTAAAAGGTTGTAAACAGCTCTAAAGATTTGAAGGATGTAAAATGAGCTCAATTCATTTTCTGTGAAAAAAAAATGGCAGAAAAGGCTAAATATTTCACAAAAGCTAAAGTTGAAACCAAAGGTCATAGCAGGATTGTCCTGAAAGAGCTGAACGTTTTGATTTATGATTTGTTGAAATAGCTGAAAACTGCCGGATGAGATTTGTGCTGATCAAAGTACGGAAGAAAAATAGATCACATAAAGTGCATGCTTCATAAACATTCAGACCATTATATTAAAACTGTTCTTGTTCAGATTCCTTTATATTCAGATTAAAACTAGATGTTGTTTTAGGGCAACCAGCATTTATTTCCTTTAACTAATGATTTGTTTTCCAGGCCATGCCTCCCAAAGGCAGTTGTTTGTTGAAATAAATGATTTAGCTCATCGTCTGTGCTGCTGCAAGCTGCAGATGGTCGTTTGTTCCGCTTCGGGTCGATGCGACAGCTCCTATAGAAAACTTGAAACAACTTCAGACTTGAAGCTCTGTGAGGCAGAGTTTAGACGGCGGCGCGCATCCATGAAAGAAAGTTGCTGTTTATTGAAGGCTGTAAACATCCTGAGTGAAAAGTAATAAAATAAAATACAAAGCACAGAGTTCACACCGAATCAAAACTACACAGGTTGTTGCAGATTATATATTCAAACGGAACGATGCTGAAAATTATTTTTACAGACAAACCTTAATATTTTGGTATATGTGTAGTGAATAATTCTTTGTTTTCTTTTTAAATGTATTAGTTGAATGTGACTATAAATGGTGGAGGATTTGCAAGATAGCATTTGTTTTATATTTTATGAGTGTGCTAAAATATATATATAATGTGGGCAAGTTATAACGGGTCATGATGCATATTCTCCATCTTGTTTTATATTTTAGGAGTATGAGTATGATTGACATGCGTGATGAAGACGAGGCCATCTTGCAGCCACACAGTCATGTGCGTCACGAGTTCATGCACAACCAGTACAACAGAATAAAAGAGGAGGACAATCACTGGCAGGAAGTGAGCTTGGTTTCTTCACCTCCTGTTAGCATTTTGCCTGCAGGTTGTTGTACAAACACTGTTTGATGCTAACAGCTGAAATCTTTTTTTTTTTTAAACCACATCAGTTCTGCAGATTTCACAGCTGCAGAGCAAAGCCTCACCTGGAAGCTTTTCTGTTTCTGCTGTTAGGACCTGGCCCGATGGAAGAGCCGCAGGAGGAGCGTCTCTCAGGATCTGATTAAAAAGGAGGAGGAGAGGAAGTTGATGGAGCATCTAATATCAGGAGACGTCTGTACCTCTCAGAGGAGACGAAGCATCAAGACGTACAGAGAGATCGTGGAGGACAAGTAGGTGACGTGCAGCACTGACGAGCGCACGTTTCATTAAATGTTAACCAAAAAGTCTCCGCTGCAGTTCAGGACTCGAATAATGAGAAAAACAAGTTGTTTTCAAAGAAGCAGTTTTTATTGTGGTTCTTGTAAACGGAGACCGGAGAGGAAGAGCAGATCTTTATGAGCAATGTTATAAAAACGTATATAAAAAAAATACAGTAAATTATTTTAGGTTTGATTCTACGTAGTCATTTTTATATAAATTTACATTAAATGCAACATTTTCTTTGTGCTTTTTAGTTTTTTTAAGTTTTAGAAAACTGAATATCTTATTTAGTTTGCATATTTCCTGAGTGTCTGGATAAAAAAAGTCAACAAATGACATCAGACTCTCTGTCGTCCCCTTTTTACCAGGGAGCGCCGTGAGGAGGAGCTGCGGCAGGCGTACAGGAGGGCCAGGACTCCAGAGGAGGCGTCTGCCATCCTCCAGCGTTACGCTCAGCGTTTCTCCATCAGTGAGTCAATCCTGGAGCGCCTGCAGCTGCCCAAGCTCCTTGACCGCAGTATATCTGCCGACCCCTCCTTCCCCCTGTCCCTGTCGTCCTCCCCCACCACTCCAGACCCCTTCGACGTGGACCCCAACGGGCCCTTGAAGTATCTGCGCCAGCAGTCTGCCCCCACTCCAAAGTTCACGTCCACATTAGAGGCACAGATCGAAGAGTTTCCCAGAGACTCGTCATCGCACCACCGGCCTCAGGTTCGCTCTCATTCCTCTGAGCCTCCGTCCACCCGGGTCCTGTCACCCAAACCCGTGCCTTTGCTGATGCCCAAGCCTTACTTTCATCCCCGACCCTCAGCTGAAACATGGAACAGCAAGGTAAGCCTCCCGCAGCAGAGAGAGGTCTCAAACCTCTAAACGAGAGCAGAGTGTTTTTGTGCTGCTCAGCCTTTTTCAGCATGTTGGAGCAAAACTAATAAAATCCAGGCTCCAAAGAGACCTTGGTGTCTTCATCAGTTTGGACTAACTCATGCAGACGCTGCATGCACGAAGAATTCAGCTGAGCTCTGCATCAGGGTTGCCAGATACATTTTAATTTTAAATGTTTTATTTACACATGTTCAACAAACACCTCATCAAAGAATATCTTTACTCAGCACATGTGACAGTTTAGGTCAAAATAGTATCATTGTAAAGCCACAATATGATAGTTCAATATTTCTTATCTGGCAACCTGACTGATATGGAAACCACAACGTTTCCGTGTAAACCCACTCATTGTTTGTTTATAAACATTGAAAAAACACTAATGTTTCCAGATGTTGTTCTCGTGTAAACAGGGCCTTATAGCAGGTAGATCACGTTGACTTGGTCATTTTAAAAGGAGCTCCTTGATGAAAAAGCTGGACACCCCTGCTTTAGAATACCAGTTTAACATTTTAAATGTCTTCAGCTTTAGAGAAAATGTAATTTTGTTAGCCACAAAATTTTGTATAAAGATGAAAATCATTCTGTGCACAAAAAAAAATGTAGTTTTTAGTTCACCCATATTAGAGGCCATTTCTTCTGTACCTGAGGTCACTTCAGAGCTGATTGCTCTTCTGTTGGTTAAATTTCCATAATCTTCTGTCATTTACATTAAAATGCCACGTAATGAGCAACCGGTATGAAGGAAACCCACGACTTTCTCTCCTCAAAAAAACATGTATTTTGATGTGGTCCTCAACAGGATCCATTTTTCTTTCTTCTGGAAAAAAGAGCAAATGAGAATATTCACATTTAGATCTCAAGGTTTAGTGTGGCGTAAAGGGAGGAGCACGTTATTATCAGACCAACTAGAGCTGAGCACTTTTCAGGAATTTCTTGTCAGGAGTCTGGCTTTGAATGGAGTCTTCTGTTCACTATTGACTTAAGAAGTTGACAAGTAGGAGCCTCTCGATGTGAAGTGGGCTCCCAGCGGACAAAGAGAGCCCACACAGGCTGCTGGGAGAAGGATGAGAAGGTGGAGGCAGAGGGGGCAGACAGAGAGCCTGCATTCACCCAACGCCACCGACGTGTCTTAAGTTACCGCTCACCAGGAGCTCCCGCACATTTATTAGTGCCTCTTTGTGGCAGAGGCCAGCAGGGGGTTGTGAGCAGATCTGCTGCTAATAACTAACAGAGCACGGGCTCAAAATGACAAGAAGTCTGAAGGTTTAAGTTAAATCAGGTCCTGGGGATGGTTTCTTTTTTTTTTGTTGAGACGTTTCATCCTTCATCCAAAGGACTTCATCAGTCTGAGGAGCCACAACAAACTCAGTCCCATAAGTGGCTTACTCACATAGTGGGCCAACCAGTGTTATGGTGATAAGATGGTTTCTGGAGTTCTTCCTCTCCTTCTCCTCTGAGGCAGCCATGACCAAACTGGTTCTAAACATCAAAGTTCATGCGCAATAATCCAGATTAAAAATCCAACGATATTAAATCAGTTCCTCTGGACATCCCCCCCCCCCCCCCCTTGATGTTTTAAACCACTTTGGCCATGGCTGCCTCAGAGGAGACGACAGGAGAGAGGGAGGACTCCAAAAACCATCTTATCACCATAAAACTGGTTGGACCACTATGTGAATAAGCCACTTATGGGACTGAGTTTGTTGTGGCTCCTCAGACTGATGAAGTCCTTTGGATGAAATATGAAATGTTTCAACAAAATAAGAAACCATCAAGAGCACCCGATTTAACTTTGTTGGATGTTTTATCTGGATTGCTGAGCATGAACTTTGATGATATGAAGGTTTCAGCACACTATATTTTTATTAGTCATCATGTTTCTTAATGAAAAGTAACATATTCTATAGAATTGTAGTTATCACTTAACAATAACTAAAGTTGTTTTTGATTGTTCATTGTATAGTTTAGCCTAAACTTCCTTAATGTTCAGGACAAGCATGAAGGAAACAATAAATGTGATGTCGTCTAGGTGGATGGTTTGCTTCGAGTCAACGGGGACGTTCAAACCGACAAACCTGAGAGTCGAGAAATGGAGTCCCCTCCCCATTTCCAGGCGTCTCCTTCAAATTATACAAACAGCACTGAAGACGCTCCTCGTTCAGAAGCTTCGGCTGCTCTGAGTCCACACGCCTGCTCTGAACGAGGAAGCCCGGGGTCCGTGAAGGCCGCGGACACAGAGGACGCTTCCGAGGGAAACCAAAGAGAAACGGTCACTGAGCACTTGACACCACCCTGCCGGCCCTCTTCTCTTCCAGTGGTAAGTCCAAGTTTTAAATTATTTTTTTAATTATTATTAATATTTAACTTTGTTTTTACTTTTTAAAATGAGACGATATTGGTGGAAAGGATGAGTTCACTGTAAGTTTAAAAAGCTCACACTTGGTTGATCAGTTCAATCTTGAACCTGATTCGACTCTCAGTGAGTCAGTTATCAACACATGTAGAAATACATTCAATAAATCATTTGGAACTGAAATAATCAGTCCGTTCTTGTAAACGTTATGCAACTACCCCGTGGATTTGGAAATTACCTGTTCGGTTCACCTTGTGAGTTGGATGATCAATAATTTGAAAAATAATTGAGGTACCAACTTCCATTTTGTTGTGTGGCTGCTTCTAGGGATAAGAAAGATCACAATCAAAAATTGGTTTTCCACGTCAAAATCCAAGATGGCCGCCCACCATATATATGTGCAAACTGACCACTGCGATAATTTGAGGAAACTATGCTTTCTCATTTTTATATTGCCTAAAAGTAAAGTTTCCTCAAATGATTGGGGTGGCTAAAGATTAATCTGTGGTGGCCAAGGACACCATTGGCCACCCCCTGGCTCCACCATTGCACCTCTGCTCCACCTGGAAAAAAACTAACTACAACCTTTTGAATATTTTGCACAAAAAACATTAAGCTTTATGTGCATTTCCTGTTCAGACAAACTCTCATCTTGAAAACTACAAACACTCACTGTTCAAATCTCTGTGGAGGGGGACATCAGCGTACTGCTTGTTTTTATTGTGCCATATTGCCGTGATGTTGACTATTAGTCACATGAACTCATCGAGTTAGAAAATCAAACATTTTTAACAAATCTCTAAAAAATTCTGCAGACTTTACGTTCTCTTTTTTTAGTAATAAACCGTCCGTGACCCTTCCAGGTGCTGCAGAAGCCGCAGGAAAGCTTTAAGACTGGAAGTCAAACAGATGCTGCAGAAGAGGAAGTAAAGTCCAACCCTGCAGCTCAACTGTCGCCCCCTGCAGGTCTGAATGGAGAACTGCATTTAAGACGTTTTGTTGCCTTTGCAAATCAATATTTGTGCTTTTTTCAGGTGCTGCTGTTTGTTTAGAGAATATTTTAAATGATGTTGGTGTGTTTTAAACTTGTCGCATACTTTTACTTTTTTATTTTTCCCATAAGCCAAACAAGAACAAGAGAGTGATAACATTCTCCCCAGCTTTGTCCCATCAGAAGCCAGCACACTGAAAAATGAGCCTCGTACCTCCACGGTGAGACTACCAAGAAAATTTACAAAACGTTTAGAAACGGCTGCATCAAAAGTCATCTACCCAACCTTCAACTGTCCTGTAGGCAGGAGTGTCCTCAGCTCAGGAGAGCAGCACAGAGACGGCTCTGAGCTCAGCAGCACCAAGAACATCTGGATGTGAGCCTCCAAAGGAAAGAGCAGGTGAAAACACAACCTGACGCGGAGCTTCTTTTCCATGCATGCTCCGATCGTTTGGCTGCTTTACTTTTTGGCATTGCTGTTTTTAGTTTTGATGTTGCGAACATCTTTCACTAAACATTAAGCCTCTTTTGAATAAATCTGAGATAAATAGATGCTTTGCATGGACACAAATTCCCACACTTCATATTTAATAACAGAGAACGGCTAATCGCAGCTTAGTCAATCAAAAATGTATTTAAAAGCATTTATTGTTTTCTTCCCTCTTTGCTTTCCTTCCCACATCCCCTGTTCTCCCTGCACCTGCATTTTTTTATTATTGTACTTTAGATTTTGAAATCAGTGTCAGGTCGCCACAGACATCTAGCAACCCTAAGTCACGCTGGGAATTCTTCGCTCCGCCAGGTAAACCTCTGCCTTCATAGAGGTCACATGACCGGGTATCCCTGGCTAAACACAGACTTTTATTTCTTTATTTTTGTTGACATGTTGTGCATGGTGAGTGCTGTTCATTTAAAGTGTAACATAAAGTTTATTATTTTTGCTGCAACTTTGCTTGATGACAAAAGTTCAGAGTTGTTTGTAATCTGTTTTCATGGACAAAATGAGAACACTGTCCAACACACTGACGGTCACTTTGAACAGAAGACTTTTTACTTCACATTACTGACTGTGAGGTGGTGCAGATGGTAGAGCTGCTGCTTCTCAACAAGAAGGCTGCTGGTTCAAATCCAGGCCGGAGGCCTTTCTGGGTGGAGTTTGCATGTTCTCTCCGTGCTGCGTGGGTTTTCTCCAGGTACTCCAGTTTCCTCCCACAGATTAAAAACATGCATGTTAGACTGGCTGACTCTAAATTGTCCCGAGGTGAGAGAGAGAGTGAATGGTTGTTTGTCTCTGTGTCCCTGTGTCTCTGTGATGGACTGGAGACTTGTCCAGGGCCGCACAGTGACTGTTGGATATGGGCACCAGTGACCCCCGTGACCTGAAAAGGAAGATGTGTATAAAGTGGATGGATGGATAGATGGATGGATGGATGCATGCATGGATTACTGTTCCACCAAAAACAACAGAACCCGACTCGTGTAAATATTTAGCATTGATTAATTTTGATCACGTGTTCAGAATGTTTTGCTGACACTTCCTGATCTTTTCGTGTCTCCTCAGAAGATGCAGAGAAGAATCATCATGGGAATGTGAGTAAAGGCATTTTGAGCCACATCTCTTTCTGCTTCTCATCTGGTTAGTCACTTGCTGTGGTGGTACTTTACACAAAAAGAGTGCTACACATTGCACTTAACAAACATATATTATATTTTATTGCAGCATCTTTATCTCTTAGTACAGGCTGATCATGTGTCTGTTAATACGTTTTCCTTCTCATAAAGTTGAGTCAGTGTTTATAGTTGCAACACGAGCTGCTAAATAATTAAAGTTATTTTAATTTGCCATGTTTTGTGTATTTACATTTTCTAAAGGTGCGGTGTGTTAAACCCAAATAAAAAGCAATTAAATGAAATAATGAGAAATCAAATCTAGAAGTAAAAAAATACAAACAAAAAGAAAATTACTGCACAACTTAAACTTGGATAAAACTTTCTGCAGGATGTTTAATCTTCTTATTTTTACATTCTAGGTGATATTTATGAACTTTTAACTTCCTACAACAGAAATCTGAATACCAGCGCAAAATGATCTAATTTTTCAAGATTAATTTCTTTCCTGTTTTTCTCGGTCTGTTATGTGTTGTGCTGCACAGAATGGCACTGGGTTACTGGATGCAGGACGCAGAGCTAGCTGTCCATGTAGCATGCCAGATGAGGATGTTTTTATTTATTCAGGCGCATCTATTTCTTTCTCTGTCTTCTCTCTCCTTAGTAGGACCTGTTTGCCTAGCAATGGAGTAGTGCTGTTGTGGTAGACCAAATATTTCTGTCCTCTCCCTTTTCTTCTCCTTCTCTGTGGACGTTTGTACACGTTGGTGTCGATCTGTACGTGTTTGTGCATGTGTGGAAATGTGTCTGTGTGTGTTGGGGTCCATCAGGTGTCAGTTCCGGTGTTGTCCCAGGCCAGGCAGGGAAACCGCTGGTCTTGGGACCCGGATGAGGAGCGAAAGCGTCAGGAAAGGTGGCAGCAAGAGCAGGAGCGCGTGCTGCAGGTACGCAGCATACCTGGGGGGTGAAGCATGGGGCATGGCTGTGGAGGGTCCACTTTGGTTTGTTGTGAAGCTCCGTGGACTCTGTGACTTCTATATGCAGGAATACAGAGTAGAGCTGTGTACAAAGCGCTGAAAGAACAGGAAATATTAGGTTAGTGTAATCTTTACAAGAGGGTTACAACGAGCTGGAATAGACTGAGACCCACCTCTAAATCATCTTGGCCCACATCAAAGTTTAGACACCGGCAGTCTGCATACAGTAATTACTGTATTTTCTGCCGTACACGTTGCACTGCCCTATAAGTCGCATCAGTCCAAATATGTCCAATAAAGTGGAAAAATCCATAAATATGCCACTTCGCCATATACATCTCGTCTATTATGCGTAGGCCTGTCACGATAACAAATTTTGCTGAGCGATTGATTGTCTCAGAAATTTTTGCGATAAACAATAACATTGTTTGAAAGTTGACAATAATTACTAATTAATTATTATATTATATACTAATTATTATAATTGTGGGTGGGGTAGGTGAAACACCCACACTTGCCCCCACCCTCATTCGCCCCACTCTGGGCCCATGAGCAAGGCCCTTAACCCCCACCATGTGCTCCCTAAAAAAAACAGGTCTCTCTTGCAAATGAGTTCTCGTGGCTCAATGAGACTAACCTGGATAAATAACGGCTAAATGAAAAAAATAAAATAAAATAAGAAGGAATGTTGGTTAATTTATTTTTCGTGTAGTATCATTTTTGACCACTGGATGGCAGTATAAGACTGTTTGAACCAAAGGATGGATAGTGAGGGAGCGAGCAGCGCGTCTATTTAAGAAAAATGGGAGGGAGGCCCCTTGACGTGACATGGGCTGTCGCTTTATCATTGTGTTCAGTTCTCAAAATGGCGGCCGCCACTCGTTGTGGTTTGAGCTCTTTAGCATTTTTCACCCCAAGCTTTTAATACAATAATCAGTAAATGTAAGTTCTCAGCTTCTTTTTGCAAAAAAAAAAACTACTTTTTCATGAAGGCACGGGTTTTAACTGTGAATTTTGGAGCTTCGACAAGACGGAGGTTTTTTCCCGAGGTCAGTCTGTTAGCTTAGCTCGTAGCTTATCTTCTCAGCTTAGCTGCTTTTAGCAAAGAGAGAAGAAAAGAAGAGAAGAAACGATAAAGCCCATCCATCTATCCATTTTCTTTACCCGCTTATTCCATTTTGGGTCACGGGGGTCGCTGGTGCCCATGTCCAGCAATCACTGTGCGAGGGGCGGGGTACACCCTGGACAGGTCGCAAGTCCATCACAGGGACACATAGAGACAAACGAGACAAACAACCATTCACGCTCTCACTCACACCTAGGGACAATTTAGAGTTACCAATCAGTCTAACATGCATGTTTTTGGACTGTGGGAGGAAACCGGAGTACCCGGAGAAAACCCACGCATGCACAGAGAGAACATGCAAACTCCACCCAGAAAGGCCCCTGGACCGGGGTTTGAACCAAGGACCTGCTCGCTGAGAGGCAGCAGCTCTACCAGTTGCGCCACCGTGCTGCCCGAAACGATAAAGCCGATAAATGAAAACAAGGTCGATAATTTTCATTTATCATGCGATTAATTGATTTATTGTTTATTGCGACAGGCCTAATTATGCGTTATCGCTGACAACACGGAAATGTGGACCGGTGTTGTGCCAAAAATTGATTGACTGCCAAATGGCAGCTGTGGGAGCGTGCACGGGAGAACTTTCATAAGAATTTAACAAGATTAACACTTAAAAACAATTATTTGTTTGCTCAAAATTATAGTAAAGGTGTGTCTCAGTCTAACTTTTGCTTAATAAATGCACTTTAATGATCAAATCAGCTGCATTTCCAAAAGCCGGTACAAGGAAGTAGGCATGTACACGAGAGGACTCGCTGTGCATTTCTTCGAAATTTAACAAGATAAGCACCTAAAACAATAATTTGTTTGCTCGACATTATAGTAAAGATGTGTCTCAGTTGAACTTTTACTTAATAAATGCACTTCAATGGTCAAATCAGCTGCATTTCGTCGGGGCGATGCAGAGAAATGAAGCTGATTTGACGGTTACTCCAAGCAAGTAGAACGAAGGTGGCAGTCTTTGGCAAGCTGATAGCCACTCTATTACATGACACAATGTCATGCCATACTGCACGAGTGCCATCTAGCAGCTGAAAATGGTAGTGTTCAATATTTTCAGTCAGAATGAATGAAAACAGTCATATCTCAGCCAAAAATTGTTTATAAATATGGGAAAAATCCATAAATACGTCACTTGGGTGTATAAGTTGCATGGCATGTAAATTATGCAAAAAAATGCAACTTATAGGGCGAAAAATACGACACACCATAGATTGGTTTGATCAAATTTACCTTCTCAAGTGTGAACAGATCTTTGAATTTATCTACATCAGTAGAATTTGACTAAATTTGCATTAATTACAGCAGACAGAGTTTCAGTAAGAACTTCTCTCTCACTAATCATTGAGTTGCTAATGGGACAAAAACATCTTGTCTTCTGGCTTCAAATGTAGTTATTTCAAACCGTAAAGCCAAATATAAAATGGTTAGCCTGAAAGCAATGATGCAGTTTAAGACTAATTTTAATTCATCAGTGCATCAGATCTGTCAGAGCTCCGTCACTAACGGCTCTTTAATGGACGGCACCGCTGTTTTCAGTCACTTCAGCTGTTTCTGTAGACAAACAGTCTAAAACGTGCTTACTCATTTTTCATTTAAGGACACATTAATCAATAATATGAGAAAATAGTTTGTTTTTTACTGGTCTTATGACATTGCTATGCTTTAAAAAATGTCAGAGAATGTGTTTAAAATGTCCAGATTTAAACTCCTTTCATTTCACTCTGTCATTCAGCTGCTTATTCAAATTATTAATTGTCTTTAACTTAAATGGTAAATGGGCTGTACTGATACAGCTCCTTTCTCTCTTATCAAGACACTCAAAGCTCTTTACAACAATCCTCATCTACCCATTCATACAGCACTCTACTAGATCTATACACAGACTAATCAGAGCTTTATCACATTCATGCACTGATGGGACACACATCTGAGGCAATGAGGGGTTCAGCGTCTTGCCCAGGGACACTTCAGCATGTGAGTGCTGGTGGAATCGAACCCTCAACTCTCCTATCGGAGCACGACTGCTCTAACCACTCAGCTACAGCCGCCCAACTTGAATGTCTAGAAAGTTAGTCAGTCCTAAATTATGAAGCTCAGATGTTTGGAGGATTGTTGTTGCATCAGCTTTTTACAAAACCCTCTAAATGAATCGAATGCACTCACGTACACAGGGACGTTCCCTTTGACGATGAATAACCACAATGTTTTTGCTATTTGTTTGTACTGAGCACGTCCCGACTCCTCTGTCACACTTGAACCACTAGATGGCGAGTCTGCAGCGGAGGAGCCTGTGCTCGTCTTCATCTCATGCACAAACAGGCTGGGACTGTCCACGGCCGCCGCTGTTGCTGCTGCCCGAATCAGCCGCTCCCTCCTCAGCCAAGAACCAGCTCATCGCAACGTTTTCCAACCGTTAAAGGAGTTGTGTCTCATATTGACTAACAGGCAGCACTTCTTTACAGTGGTTGAAGAATGGTTTGTGATGAGGCCTGCTCAGATGGATGTCTGACACGTGGACGTGCACACCTTCCTCCCTGTTTTCTCTTCTCGTCCTAAATGTCTCATCTTTAAATCCCTCTTTTTGTGGGGTTCCTGCACAAGTCTGCAGAGAGAAGTCCCAGAGGAATCTTGTATTTTTGTGACATTATTACTGTAAGGAAAACAGAAATATTTTAATAATAATATTAAAGGAATAATGTGGCAGATTAAAAAATTGTGCAGGAACCCCCCGTGCTCTGCAGCTTCTGCATGCTTGGCTGTTGTATTTTGTTTCCCTTGCTTGTGTTCTGCTTATGTTCTCTCATTTTTAGCAAATAATTAGATTTGAGCCATAACCACAGATGGCAAACTGATCACCTCTTAACTTAACGTACGAGATTCCCTCAGGCCGACATTTTTATTTTCAGGACATTAACGAAGTAAACTGATTGTGCAGAAGAAGCCCTGTTTGACGTCAGACATATTTCACTTCTGTGTTCCACCTTGAGCCGGTTCGGCCTTCCGCTTCGTTGAGGCTCTTTGCCGTATGTCTTGTGTCTGTTGCTATGGTAACAGGAGAAGTACGAGCGTGAGCAGGAGAAGCTGAAGGCGGAGTGGGAGGAAGCCCAGAAGGAGGTGGTGGAGGAGGGGAAGAAGTATCACGAGGAGGTGTGTATGTTTCCTCTGTCGTCCCTTTGATGTATCAAAGTACTTCAAATACTTTACGGTACTGTGAAGTTAAAGTTTAACTTTATTTTGAAGTATATGAAACTGTCTTGTTGACTGTTACTCCACCTGCGTTCTGGACTCTCCCCTCCCAACAGGAGCGCAGGATCCTGGAGGAAACCGTCATGCCTCTGACCCCCCGCTCCTCAGCCCTGCCCTCCCCCAGTCGAGGGGAGCTCTCCTCCAGCTCCGAGCCTCAGTACACGATTGTCCGTTCGCTGGCTGACTGGGACCGCAAACAGGAGCTGCTGGAAAAGCAGTCTGTGAGTGAACTGGAGTTTAAGCTGGATTTTATTTTAGTCATTGCTCAGTATTTGTTTGTGTATTGATCTTTAAATCAAGCTATAAACACGACATCCCTTCTCATTTTTACGCCGATGACTGTCAAACGTACTTCCCTCTGAAGCCGCTGGTGCACGCTCTATCCAACCTCTTCTTTGCCTGGCTGACATCAGGGACTGGATGGCTTTAAATTTCTTGAATTTTAATGAGAAGAAGACAAAAGTCATGTTGTTTCCACGGCACCATCAGGAACCACTGTACCAACCTTTCCTCTCTAGCCCCGTTAGAGAAACAAGTTGTCACTAATCTGGGAGTGATAATGAACCCTTTCATGAAACTGAACAGTCCTGTAAACACGATTGTTAAATCCTGTTTATACAGTTGAGGCGTCTGTCTAAATTGAAGCCCATACTGTCCAAAAGTCATCTTGATACTGTAATACATGGTTTCATAACATCCGTACTCGATCACTGCAACACACTTCTGTTTGGAATCAGTCAGACCACCATCGCACGACTACAACTGGTTCAAAATGCTGCAGCCTGGTTTTTAACTGGTACAGGCAAAAGAGAGCACATTACTCCAGTTCTGGCCTCCCTTCACTGGCTCCCAGTTCACTTTCAAATTCATTTTAAAATCCTTCTGTATGTTTTTAAATCTCTGAACAGTCCTGCCCCATCTTATCTCGCTGATCTGCTGCAGCCATATCTCCCACGGCGCTCTCTGAGGTCAGCAGACCAGATGCTTTTACTGGTTCCAGTCACTCGTTTTAAGCTCAGAGGTGACCGGACCTTCTCTGCTGCAGGTTCAAAAGTGTGGACTGAGTTACCACTGCAGGTCAGGCAGGCTCCCTCTATCACTGTTTTAAGTCTCGTTAAAAAAACACTTTTATTCCCTGGTTTTTGATAATAATATAATAAGTACGTTTTATTATTGTATGTTCCAATACAATGGCAAAATTAGTTCTCTACATTTAACCTATCACACCTGGGAGACACCCAGGTGGAGCAGTGGGCAGCTATGTAGGCGCCCGGGGAACAATTAGGGATTAGGTGTCTCGCTCAGAGACACCGCGGCATGTGGGAATGGCTGAGGATGGAGCCTGGGACTTTCGTGTCCCAGGTCGGCTGCCCCGCCTCTACCCCATCTCAATGGTATGGTATAATTAGACTTTGAGGTTTTTTTTTTTGGTTTTTTTTTACAAAAGTAATAAAAGTGGCATAGAAAGTGTCACACTTCGAATGAGGCGTGTTGGACATGCTCAAACTGTTTCCACCGCTGTTTGTGCTTCACTCCTAGTTGGTCACTCCAAACATCAAAAAGATGAGTGACTTTGTTCGTCGCGGTCTCGCTGAGTTCTGAACGATAGCAGCTAAATGAGCAGCGAGTTATGTGGCCACTTTGGAGTGGTCAGGTTTTAACACTCCAGACCTGTTTTTGTGAGCACGCTTTGCAAACCTGCATTCTTGGCCATGCCCGTTATTTTACTGACTACATCACACCCACCCCGGCTTTTTACCCTCCTTGGCAGCCACCCCGCCATCTATGAATCAATCTTCTGGAGTAAACTTTGAAAACGAAGCTTGGCTGATTAGAACCAGTTTTTAATTCATTGCTGTTCATCACCAGCGTTGGTTTCAGACCTGCACATTTCCTTATTTGATGTTAACAGAGAGCACCCCAGCACATGTTAAAATACACTTCTCATGTTCTTGAGACATGTTGGAGACGCTCATAACAACTTTGTGGTTATATTAGGGGAGAAAAAACATTTATTTTAACATGTTCAAAACTCAAAACGACAAAAATGCGCAACTCTCAACTCACGTGAGCGTTGAGAACTCTGCAAAAGTTACAAGACGAAGACGTTTGGGAGACTGTCGTGAAAGTTTACCAACTAGTCGCAGATCAGTGAGATACTGCCTTAACCAAACATGGAAAACTGGAGTTTTAATCGTGACACAATGTCTTCTTGATCACTGACACAGAGAAGAAGCACAGACGGTACGGAGAGGAAACAAAGAGAAAATGACCGAACCAGCGACATCAGCACGGCCGACGACAGCGTGAAAACTGGCCGAAGGTTGGTGAGCAGCCTCTGAAACAGGACATGTTTAATCTTTCAGATTAATGACAGCATGACTTACAAGACGTTTATAAGATTAGATAAGATGGAGCTTCATCACGGTTGCCAGATAAATGCAAGATGTCTTATTTACCCCCTCCTTTTCTGTGCACATGTTCCACAAACACAACACACCTCATCATTTAGAATATCTTTACTCAGCACATATGATGGTTTATGTAAAAATACTATCATATTAAAGCCACTTTACTATAGTTCATCATTTCTTATCTGGCAACCCGACTAACGGAAACTTCAGTGTTCTTGTGTAAACGTGCATGCACATTTTTTGTTTATTACCCCAATAAAAATGATAAAAACACAAATGTTTCCAGAGGTTGTTCTCGTTTAAACAGGGTTTTATAGCAGGTACATTTTAAAGGCGCTCATGCTGAAAAAGTCTGGACACCTCTGGCACACATGCCCACTCATGCTCACAGTTACCACGTAAGCTCTAGTTGCTCGTTCACATGTATCACACACTTGTTGCACACGAGAGTGCAGTTTTCGTCTTATAAGAGCCGAGTTTAGTTTGGTGATGGCTCCAAAGTAAAAGCTGCTCCAACATTCTTGTAGTTTGTGTTTTTGTACCATTTGGAGAGGAGCTGAAACTGAACAGGCAGCATGGGACAAGTGCATCAGGCTACAGATATTTATACATAATTTTACTATTAAACATTGCTGCGAGCTCTACAGTTCATTTTTTAATCCAGTTTTACCAAATGTTGAAGTGAATATTATTGTTCCAGACATCTTGTTTAATGGTGGTTAAATAACTTGATTTCGGTTAACATATTAATATTAGGTGTTGAAATATAAAGGCGATGCACTTCTTCTTTTTGTCTGCAACGAAGACTGAAAAATGGATGGCTCACCTTACGAATACCCGTTAAACCAGAGGCTCATACAGTTTTATTTTGCTAAATTCAGGTGGTGACAGTTTTACACTCGCTGAAGCAATGTTTGAGGTGTTTTATGAGAATAAAGCACGTTTCATGTTTCTGTCCTCAGTTTGGTGAGTCAGACCAGCAGCCAGACAGAGAATCACGGCGTTCACAATGGCCAAAAGCTTCCTCCACCGACGACCAAATCTTCAACAGCTCCAGCTAAGAACCACCAAGAGCCTCCAGCTGACAGCAGCCGAACGAGTCGGTCTGCAGGAGAGCGAAGGTGTGTGAATCGCCATGATTGTCTGGAAAATGTTTTCTCATTCATGCATCGCTGCAAACATCGCTTCATTTTAACATGTTAATTTTCCTTTGCCTGTTTAGACTTTTTTTTTTTTTTTTTGCTCTCATTTAATTGTTTTTACATTTAAGAACGCGTTTTAAATGTTAAAATGCTGCTAAACTATTGACCAGCAGGTGGCGACCTTTGCCTATTTTTCCCCTTTTGTAACTTTGATCCATAAAATAAGAAAATTGCATGCAAGGATAATGTGCTTTCAGGAAAATCCTTCAAATTATGCTCAGTGAAAATGTATAAAAACACGTCTCCAAAGTTACAATAAGGTGAAATGTGCTGCCAGTGTCTGTCGTGTCTCTGGACCGGCCGCTCGTCTGACGCCGTCGGCCAATAGAGACTCTGTATCTGTGAGCCATCATCGTGTTGCATGTTGCTGTCCATTTCCAGGAGCAGCCCCATTGATAATAACTTAAGAAGCAGCTCATCAAAGCCCCCCGCAGCAGCACCACCCAGCAGGTACCGCAGCTCAGGGTTCTGCTGACCCATTTTCTCCACCCATCTCATGACATGTAGCTCTGCAGCAGCAACTCTCCGCTCCGCCTGGAATGTTAATGGAGCCCAAGGAAGGTTGAGTCAAGGAGAAACATGAGTTTTAAATTTAAACCTATGTCTTCAGTCATGGAGTACATTTACAGATATTGCTGCAAACGAGTTAATGATTAAAGAATTGAGAATTTTTAGTGCTGTTTACTTTTGATATATTAAAATGCAACTAGAATACAAGAAAAAAAAGGTGCACAGTGGAAACAAGAGGGCAAAGAGAATAAGGATTTACCTGCAGAGATGTCAACCTTTGCGTTTGTGCGTCTGACTTTAACCTCTTGTAGGTCTGTCAGCGGGAAGAAGCTGTGCTCCAGCTGTGGGCAGCCGTTAGGGAAGGGAGCAGCCATGATCATAGAGACCCTCAGCCTCTACTTCCACATCCACTGCTTCAAGGTTGGTGCAGAGTTACCGCTTATCCTCTCAAGGTGCATGACAGAACATCATTCTCCGTTTAATCCATCAAATTACGAACAACAGAGGGTTAAAGGATCGTTTTATTAGAATCAGATGACAGAAATGATCTGTCCTTTCATTCAGATGCAGTCGTTAAAAGCTCATTGTCTCACTTAGTTTTTACAGTTTAAAGGTTGCTTCAGTTTTAGGTTCTTATCCTTGCAAAGATTGTCTTTGCAGTTTTTGCACGCAGAAGCTGAAAAAGGGGTTTAAATCCAGAGGCTGCGATGTTCCTCCAGCATGCTGTGTTCACCAGGGTTCAAATACGCACTTTACCCATCTGGATATGTAAATAAACACATTTGTGTTTTGAGACTTTGCTCCCTGAAGCATTTTCTGAGAAAATAAATTCTAATTTTCAAAAAAATCATTCAAAATAGCGAGGTATTTTTCACATTAAATTTACATAAGAGACGTGTATCATATTTTTCATATATTCCCTCAATAACAACTTTAAATTTAAACCTTTCGCCATTCATACCTTAATTGTCTTTTGAGTTTCTGCTCACAACCTCAGACACTCGTACAGCTGTCTGGGTTAGAAATCTCTGCCGTGGATGATGAGCAGCAGATTGTGTTGAATCTTGCCTTCGTCACAGTCTCCCATCCTGAGCAAGCACAGAGGAGACAGTGGAAAGAAAAACTCCCTTTTAACAGGAAGAAACCTCCAGCAGAACCAGGCTTGGGACGAGCAGCCATCTGCTTCGACCGGCTGGGTTTGAGAGGAACAGGAAGCAGGAATAGATACACAATGGCAGGTCCAGGTGTACTTTCCATAGGAGGAAAGACAAAAAACATGTTAATATATAAATAATTAAAAATACAAACAGAGTAGAGCAAGTAAAGACGGCAGCAGAGAGAGGAAATGTCAGTTTGTCCTCCAGCAGTCTGAGACTATAGCAGCAGAAGTAAGGAAGAGGAAACCCAAGCCGACCCTAACTATAGGATTTATCAAAAAGGGAAGACTTAAAACTGGACAAGGTTTCAGCCTCATGGACATAAACTGGAAGTTGGTTCCACAAGAGAGGAAGTGTTCAAGATGTTTCTCCTTTAGGGTTTAAACATCTGATAACTGAATAATCTCATGTCTGCGTGTCTTGTCTCTCAGTGTGGCGTGTGTAAGGGACAGTTAGGGGACACAACCACGGGGACAGACGTCCGGATCAGAAACGGCCTCCTCAACTGCAACCAGTGCTACATCCGCTCCCGCTGTGAGTCCACGACACCCCCCACCCACCCCCCCTTTACATGACCTGCCTCTAGATTCTCTTTTTATGTTTGTTTTTATAAATCTGCTGTTTCTGGGACAATGTTTTCATCCTTCCATCAAAATGACGAACGACCGTTGAATTTATCCAGCTACTTAAAAATAAATCGTCTTCACAATGATTCAAACGCTTTTAGTCACCTATAATAAATATATATATATATATATATATATATATATATATATATATATAAAACGTGAAACATACTTCGCTTGTTGACCCTTATTTAGAGGTAGAAATAAAGTCCTTTAGAACAAATTTTAAACATTCATTAAACTTTAATTCAAAATGGCCTTTTCTGCTGCCATTTGTTATACTGCTCATGCTTCATCAGAGGGTGCATCTCCTTTTGTGCCCCAGCGGAACCAACATCCTGCATATTAGTTCCTACGTAGAACCTTTCTAAATAAATGTCCTAATGACGTGAGGAATAATACAAAATAAATACATGAACTAAAATTACGGCAGTAAAACTCCCACCAAATCACAACCTATAGTGATTTCAATTCAAACATATAACATTATTATAGGACTATATTTACATTTTAGCATTTACCGTGCTTCCAGTAACAACACAGTTTTGTGTACTGGCCTAGCAAGATGCACTGGTTTGATAGCCCTTTTTCCATCCTTACCCAAAGTTGAGTCACTGAGCAACAACTGCACCTTCCTGATTCTTCCATCTGCGCTTGGATAAACTTTTATTACTCTTGCCAGTAATTTATAGTCACATATTTTAAAGTTAAACAAGAGTTTTTGTTGTGTTTTCAAGTGATTTTGTGTAAATTTATTGGCGATGTAGTGATTTAAAGGAAAGTTGAGCCACTGATTTAGTAAAAACAGCACAGCTGAGGGTTTCTGTGGTGTTTGATGATGCCGTGCACTTTTTCCTGTTCGTGTTTTAGTTGATGTGTTTCTGGATGTTTAATCTGACAGGATTTCGTGTTATCGTGGCCGCTGTTTCCCTCAGATAACGTGGTTACTCATGCAGCACTCCTCACTCAGTAATCAGCCTTCTCAACACTCGTACCTCTCTGGTTTGCGCTTGTTCATCGTTAGTTCCTCGTCCTCTGTCGGCCCTAGTGTTCAGTTTATTGTTCCGCGTCACTTGTTTCACTTTTATTTTTCTTTATTAAACTAAAGATGTGAGTATGAAGCTTTCTTCTTCTTTCAGCTGTTCCCTCTTCGAGGCTCACCACAGTGACCCATCATTCTCCATCTCTGCATCCTCAATCTTTGTACTGAAAAAACTAGCGACATCGAGTGGTCATCTGCATATATAGTAATCACAAACATGACAAAACAACTGCAGATTAAGTTAATATTCCATAAGAACCCTTCACTTGGTGATACAACCACTAAATGTGAAATAAATAATGACTAGGACCTAATTTTTCATAAAATCATTGTATCCAAGGTATATATTTTTCAATGTGGCCACTCTTGTTTGTGAAAAACAGCTTTTTCCTCATAAAATCAGAGTGGCTCAGCCTTTCGTGCAAAAATTGAACGTCATGGCAGATGCTGATATCACTTTGGTCTCACATGCGCACAGCGTTGTGCATGAAAACATGATGAGTCGTCATAGTTATATGTTATTGTCAAATTTTAAATAGGCTTTGTCAAAATCCATGAAATGTTTCAAATCATGACACTGTTTTCATATCACAACCTCACAAGATATTCAAGTCATTTATATTGAAACACTCTTACCTCTGCACAAAAAACATACTTACCTATTTGTTGTTTGTTTTTTTATCTGTTTTTCCCTCCTGGATATTATAATTTATTTTATTTTTTTTGTCCAAGAGATCATTTGTGCCAAATTTCAAGCTTTTATAACAAAGTCAGTTTGTTTCATGACTCTGCAGCGCTGGTGCTGAAGATTTGAAGTAGTCGCCTCACTGTTTTGGTTTTAATGGGATGTATGAAGCCTCACATGGACATTGAATGTTCACAGAGATCATGTGACCGAAGTCCTCCACAAGCAGCATTGACACCGTTTCCACCACGTCTGTTTCAGTAGATTGAAACGTGGTTCAGAGCCTCAGCGTCAAAAGTATCTTTACATTAAAAGATTGTTTTCGACTTATTCACAGGGCTTTCTGAGATCTGCTCATTTACACCAGATCATCAGAAATACCCGGCTCCATCGGCTCCAAACAGATCTTTAAAAAGAAAAGTGCTTGAGTTTGTGTTTCAGGAACATCTTCACATCTATCGGCATCAACCAACAGATTCAGTTTGATCTGTGCACCTCTACATTTGTGATCCCAAAATAATAGATGATCCTTATAAAAGTTGATTTCGTTTTTTTTATCCTGTCTTTCCTGTCAAGCGGCCGGACAGCCGACCACCTTGTGACGTCCGAGTGAAAAGAGCAAGAAGAGACCCCCTCCATGTTTTAAACCGATTATCATCAAGTCACATCCTCCGCAGCGTGTTGGGATCTCTGCTTCCTCTGCAGCTCAGCAACCGTTGAAGAGTCACCACGTGGGAAACAAATCTGGGGACTGTCAAAATAAGATGCTCTGTGTTGATGTAATCCGATATGTCCGTGAAATCTGAATTTTGATTGGTCCTCGTGCAAACACAAACCGTTTCGTCGTGTAGTGAGAAGGAGACGGTGGTGTCGGCCATGTTGAAATGGTGCCCGTGAAAATGAACACAAACCACAAAGCAAGAGAGATTCAGTGCACGTTTGATCCTTCACGGAGAAACTTAGTTTACCTTTCAGCTACATGCAACAAAACCATCAGTTTATTTTTTGTTTTGGATTTAAGATGCAATCTTTGAGTGACAAGATTCTAAAAATGGAGGACAAAAAAGCGATGATGCAACCAGGTCATTAAAAATCAGCACTGCTCAGATACTAGATTAAAAACACTCATATCTGTATTTTAGAAAAGGCAATAAAGGTCAAAAATAATTATTTAGACACTAAATCTAGATAAGTGTATTTCCCCCCCCCCTCAGTCGTCAGTGAACAGAATAAAATGAGTGATAAAGGACGGAGTTCGTTGTGATGGTAATAGCTCTTTAGATGTTTTTGGGTGCCAACAGGTTGTTCTTTACACACATCATCTCGGAGCGTGAAGACGTTAATGTGCCTTAGCAAAGCAGGAAGCGAAGCACGAACCACGTGGTGTTGGAAGTTTTCAGTATTCTGTTCAACAAAATCAAATCCTTTACTGCAGCTCTTCAAACAAAAAAATGTTTAATTTCACAAGAAGTAACACAGTTTTGTGTTCTTTTTTCTCTTAGTGGAAGTAGAAGAAATGTATTTAAAAAAACGCTTTTGTCCTTTTGAAGCAAACCCTCAGTACACGATGTGCGCTCCGTTCTGCAGGGGAAACGTGGGTTTTATTTCCATCAGCTTTACGCTCATCTTGAAGTTATTTTGATCACGTCTCTGTAAAAATCATTTATATATTTGAAAATATTCTAAAACTCACCGGTAAATGTTAAACCTGTCCTCAGCAGGGGTACCAGCAGCAGCTGCAACACGTGGCTGGATGAAAACTGCAGGTCTGTTTTACCCGCTGCACATTTTAAATTACCTGCTTACATTTTATCCCGTATAAGACGAGCTCCGTTACACGTTGGATGTTTTTATTATTTTATTTTTAATGCATGTTTAAGCATAAAAACTAGCAGCCTCCTCTTCCTCCTGCTGAATTGCATCCATTTTTCACCTCCGGTGTCATCTCGCTCTGATTTACAGTATTTTCCAAGCTTTTTTTCTTCTGATTATGTGTATTTTATTTTTATCCTCATTTAGTTGATGAGTCAATCTAATCTGAGTCTCTAATAGCGGGATCTTTGAGACTGAGCTGATAAGTCCGAGGGTTTTAACAGAATGGGAGGACGGTGTGAACCTTTTGCATCTGTACTGTATTTATTGTAATATTTACCTGAATATTATCTGGATTATAGATTCATCGGATGTTTAAATGCAATGACATTTATTATGGCATACTGTATGTTTATAAATAAAAGGATATAAATTAAAGCGTGGCATTTTATTTTCAATGCTGCATCCAAGAAATTAAAAACGAGAGTGGAGTTAAAAAGCCAAAGTCATATTTATCAGATCACAAATTTATGAAATGGATGTTTCCACATCCTGCAGAGCATCAGTCCAAAGCACAGAGTATTAAACAAATTACTAACGTTGACTGGGAATTCTCAAAATAAAAAATTATTTTGAGATTTCTAAAAATATTTTCAGTTTGAGGTTATTTAAGTTGTATAGATTTAGTTTGACTTGACGAGCGCAACAAAAAGCTGCTGAACAGGCGGATCAACAGCGTTTGTCATCGTGTCACCAAATGTTTGACATTAACCTCAGCCATAACGTTTAGTACTTTTCATATAAACCGAATTTTAAATTACATTTTAATATAAGATGTGCAGTCTAATGAAACACAAATGTGATTTTCTTGTTTACCATCTATTGTTTAAACATTTTTCACAGGTTTAATGTAAAATTTTTAAATTAGAAATGTGATAATGTATCCAAAAGCAATGATTAAAACTGTTAAATTTAATAGATTTTTTCCAAATAAGTAATAGTTTTTAATATTCGCTTTAGTAAACTGACTACTAGATGGATAGAGTTGCCTTTTTATTTAAATTTTTTTTTTTCCAGCTGCTGAGCTGTCCTTGGTGCTGAAGTCGCCTCCATTATCAGAAGCCTTTGCTTTTAGAACTGCCACGCTAAAAAGAAACAGAAATTCATAGAAATTGTTGCATTTGTTTTCTAAATATTACAAATTTGTAAAGTTGAGCATAAAATCTTGTCAATTTTGTCATTCCCCCCCCCCAAAGAAAACAACAAAAACAAAGTGAGACTATTAATTTTTTATCATCAACAATCATTTCAATGGTACACCTGGAAAACTATGTGCACATGTAGAAATATTTCCTTCTTAAATATAAGCATCCATTACCTACATATAAATAACTTTCAGATCCGGGACAAAACATGAATGTTCACAAAATGGGAGAGAAATCAGACAAAGAGACGACATGCAAATTATATAGAAATAAATACAATGTTTGCATCCATTCCCTGCTTGTTTAGTTTTTTTTTTTTTTTTTTGCCAAAATAAATTCTGAGGGAATTTAGTAAAAACATCAATAAGACTTGCATGATGGTCTACAGTATGGCCTATGGTTGAACTAGAAGAGACAAGAATACGTATTAACACTATACAATCTGAGCCACAAAACACTGCCGTAGAAAGACACACAAAACATACAGATTTCCTGTCAGAGGTGAACATTGCAGAAGTTTGTGCCTTTTTTGTATCTCGAGGAAATAAATGTTTATATCGACAATTTAAAGAAACTAAACTCTCGGCAGTCCTGAAAACGAGAAACGCTGCTGGAGGAGAAGCTTCACCCAGCAGGAGCAAAGCGTGGTGAGTCGGTGTGAGTGTGGATTTTTGTGGGAGAACATCTGTAGTCTCTGGTCCAAACAGCTGCTGAACTTAATGCGTCATGAGGCTCCTTTACGCACTGATGGCACTGCGCGTCTCCAGCGCACCGTCCAAAAAATAACCACCAGACCAAGTCATTTGAATCGTTTCTCTGTTTTAAAATGAATTGAGGTCTGTTTCAAAATGATGTGGTCTTCTTACAGTTTAAGGGTGAAAGTATGACCTCCCATACCTCCTTTTTACGTTGATTACTTTTTCAAATGGGTGGAATACCTGCATTCGTTTCAAGAATAAAATAATCTTATTTGACTTGTAAGATGAATATTTTACAGGAAACTGCTGAACACAAGAGAAGGCACAAGGCCTAAAAATAAAACAACTGTTCGTCCTTTTTCTATCTGCTTCTTATTGTCCTCGGCTTCAGTTCAGTCTCTGGAGGAGGAGGAAACTCCTCTTTCCCTCTGCGCCGTTTGTTTCTCTTCCCCAGCGCAGAAGCTGCATTAGAACATGCTGGTTTTTACTAACGTAGCTTTCGCTCCATTCTGTCTTTGCAAAGAGGACAGTACGCTGGCGAAGGGCCCCCCCAATGAGTCCGGGATGGATGTGATGGTGCCGGGCGCGGCGGCCCAGCCTTGGCTCGGTGCCGTCACTCCCATGCCGGTGGACACCGAGGTCTTCACTTGGTCCACCTGTCCGTTGCCGGTGGTGTTAATTTGGCCTGCGGTGGGGCTCGGTCCGCCGCAGTTGGAGGTTGGAACCGGGTTTGGGCCTGGTCCTCCTGTGCTGTCGGGGTCGGTGGTTTTAGTGTCTTTGCTGTCTTCGTCCCTGGAGTCAACCTTCTTGCCGGACCCAGACTTGGCAGCCGCCGCGGCCGCCGCAGCCGCGCGCTCCTGCTTGCGGAATTTGGCGCGCCGGTTTTGGAACCACACCTGCAAATGTTCAAGAAGAAAGTGCAACTTTATACATATTCAGTAAGTCATAAAAATACAAACTGCAAATGTTTTGCTATGCTGTTTCACGTTTTAGAAATATTCATAAAACGAATAGAAAACGTCACGCAACTTATGTGTTGAAGCTTAAATCTCTGAAAATGTCCAAAAATTTAACACATTTTAAAGTTTTTTTTGTATTTATAAACGACAGTTATGATTCCAAAATTATTTGTCTGGGCGAGTTTTTGTCAGTAAAACGTTCTAAAAGTCCAAAATTCTGTAGATGTATTTGGAAAAAATGTGCGTAATTCTAAATCCGTCCGTGCGTAATGGGAACGGCGATGGATCGGGTGCCTCGTGGACCACCAGCAGCTGTGCGTACCTGCACTCTGGCTTCAGTCAGGTCGATTTTGAGTGCCAGCTCCTCTCTGGTGTAGATGTCCGGGTAGTGGGTCTCGGCAAAAACCCGCTCGAGCTCCTTCAGCTGCGCGCTGGTGAACGTGGTCCGGATGCGCCTCTGCTTTCTCTTCTCGTTCAGTCCGCCGTGATCCGTGAAGAGTTTGTAAGGAACTGCAAACCAAACGAAATGCCACAGTTAGGTGTCTATGCCGGGCAAATCTGATTGCGTGCAAGCACGATGTTGTCAAATGGAAGTAAATTCAAATTGGATATTTTGTGTAAAATCCGTTTAAGCTTTCGTTTGGATTCGATTACCTTTGGATTAGATCAGAAGTGATAACACTGCTGACCCGTGAAGCGGTTAATTGTAATGTTAAATTAATTGTTGCTCTTCAGATTGAGGTTCATGTTTGAAAACTTGTCATACTGGTGCCATCCGCTCCGTTTGTTGCTACTGTAACTCCAATTTGGTGTCAATAATGAGCTTTAGTCTTTGGTTATCTAATTATTTTCGAAGCTTTATGTCTCATCGCAAAGTAAATAAATTATGCCTATCATTTTGGCAGCTTAAGATAATTCTGTTGGCGGTTTTGGGTGTGACTGGGATAGTATAACCCCGTAACCAAATTACCTCTTGCCTGCAATCGCTTCTAACGTGATAAATTCTTTCATTTGTGTAAGCAAATTTCGTTTGGTAAATACTAAACACATTTCCATTTTCAAATGCAATCAAGCCGTCCTATAATAACACCGGGGCTGCGGCTCCGGAGCCGCTGCTTACCTGCGGCGTACGGGCTGCTCTGGTGATCCCGCAGGGTCCCCAGACTGCAGGACCCCGGCGTGAGGGACGGACAGCCGGAGGTGGCCCCGAAAGTGGTCCTGATGGGATTGTACTGGAAGCCGCTGGTCTGACTGCACGAGCTGAAGTCCGCGTAGGCCGATGCCAAGCTCGACGTGTCCATCCCGGCCATACATGACTCGTAGGCAGAGGAATTTAGGTAAGAATACTCCATTTTATACATTGGAGAAGGCTCGGTTGACGTTAAAAACTGCACTTCCCTGGAAAAAAAAGTAAAACAAAAGCACCCAAAAGCGGGTTTGAAAGGGGAGAAGGTAAGAAGTGAGATGAGGAGGACGCGCGCTCTGAGTTTTAGGGAAGGACAACTTGTTTGGTTTGAACTGGTTGGGAGAAAGAAAAAAAAAAAGGCTGGACGCTGAGATGTTCACTGCTCCGCGCCTGCTCCAAAACTGGCCTCCTTTATAGGAACCTAGCCCTGTTTTATGAAAAGCCCCCTAAGAGCCGCCTAGCCCGAGGTCTCTAGAGCATATAGTCCTCATAATAAACTTGGCTCTTTCCGCTTGGACAATAGCAAAGCGTTTGGTCTTATTGCGAGCGCTTTTTTACATGACAATAACTCATCAGTCTATTGGGCTGGCACTGGGGGCCCGGGCTGTCCAACCTCCCTATCATTGATCCCCTGCATCTCTAATTAGAATTTAATACCACGCCATTACGCAGCCCCCCACCACCACCGCCCACCCCTCTCCCTATACCCACCCCACTCCTCTCCAACCAACATCTTGCCCTTTAATTCAATCACACCACTTGGAAATAATGAAAGTTGGGTGACGATTCTCCCTGATCCAATTTTCTCCAAGCTTTTAAGCCTTTTAAGCGACCGTATACCTTGGGCAGGATTTCACAGAGTATTCCCACTCTGCCTCCTCTTTCTGTCCGTATGCTCCTCTTGTTTTATTCTCCCTCGCTCCCCTTTTCTCTCTCTGCTTCTGGACTCAGCTTCTGCACAGAAGCGGTGCAACGTGTCTAATTTTATCCCTGAAAACGACCCATTTTTTGCGTAAAGGGATCCGTTTCATGCGCACTTGATGTTGAAAACAGTCTTTGCAGCTTAAACAGGCAGATGCACGATTTCACACCGAATGCTCTGAAAAAACATATATATGTACAGAAACTGCAGAAAAACAACATTAATATTTTCTATCATGCAGTGAATTTTCTTGAGATTGCATAATGTTTTAACTATTTAGATAATTCTGTATCAAAAAAGCAGATAAAACATATTTAAACAAACAAAAGCTGAACAATAAAACACCCAAATGGTGGCCTATAAACGTGTTTAGTCCAATAAACACAACATAGGAGGTTTTTGTTTTCTTCCTGCATTGCTGCTGCATTCTCTCTGCTAAACATCCGGGTGTTTTTTATGATTCAAATGACTTTATAATTGTCTTCATTACTTTCATTATTCCGTTTATTTGGCAAATAACATCTTTGTAATGAAAGTAACGAACTGGTGAGGCAGTCATCCGACCTCTTAGGCTCCAGATATTGGCTGAGTGGTTAATTCGGTTTGCGTAATAAGGTGAACCGTTTTGTTTGGTGCCTCCACACCCTGCGCGTTTCTTTCTTTCTTTCTTCTTCTTTTTCATTCATTCAATCGAGTTTGGAGTTCTTCCTGTTCAGGTTTTATCTCCAAATGATCAGAAAAGGAGCCCGCAGTAATTATGGCGCAACAATTACATTTAGCAGATGACCGTTTGGTGTTGAAACGCGCTCATCTGTTTTGTGTTAGGTGATTGAAATATATATTTAATATTGTTAGAATGACTGCAGATTGTTTTTTGTTTTTTTTTAATCTGTATTTTTTGTGAGTTTGGTGGCCGTTTGGACCATTAAACACCTTTGTCTCACAGCCTGCTCAGTCTTACAGGATTATTATAGATCTTTTTCCTCCACTCTGAAGCTTTTTTTTATCAGGTTTTATCACAGTATTGATCTTTTCTTTCACCATCATAGAAAAAATATATAAAAGGTGCGCATGTGAAATAAAGAAATGTCAGTGTCTGTTTCCCGACATGCATGGCTTTCCAAAAACCTCAAATAATGAGATATTCAGAATTTAAACTTATATTTAAACAGGTGCAGCAAGATTCTAAAACACTACTGCAATGTGGTTAATAATTCAAACAAAATAAAATGGATGTGTATGTTTGTTTTTTAATTCCGACCCGTTTTGTGCGTGCACGCTGCAGCTCCCATGTTTGTTTAAAACATGAGCGCGCGCTTGCATTTGCCATCGATTATGTGTTTTTTTAAGGTCGCTGACGCGTTGCGGGTGTTTCTCCCCTTTTCTTTCATTGTCTCCTCTGAGATGAACAAAAGCTGAAAACTCTAATTCTTTGCTGACACAACCCGCTGCCTTTTTATGTAAATCTGTTTCTCTTTTTATCTCCTCTTTTCTACACACGAGCTCAGACCCAAAAGTTGTACCAAATGGTTAATCTGATTATTGAAACCAAAGAGCCAAATGGTTCACCGTCCTCCCTCCACGCGTCTGGCAGCGAGAAAAGAACCCATCTCTGGGAAATAATCTAATAACGCTCAAAGAAACGAGAAGTCTTTTCTGATATTTCGCCGAGGCAAACACAATTAGAGCTTTTAGCCAGCGGTGTCTTTCACTGGAGCCGCTCTTTATTCTGGCGCTGTCGCTGCGCCAAAGTCCACCAGCTATTCAGGCGCGCCCCTCCTTTAAGGTTTCACCATCTCTTAATTCTTTCAGCTGGTTGTGCTCAGATGAAAGGCCACAGTTTCACTTCTGGTGGGAGAAAGGTCAAATGAATGAAATCACACATGCAGTTCGAGCTGTCTGCAGAAAGACGGACTTTATCCAGATGTTTGGCTGAAATACCAGTTTCAGTTCGAGGGGGTGGCACAGAGAGGCAGCTGTAAAAAAAACAACAACTTGCCACGGGATTTGTAGACCCATAATATAATTTTGTACATTTTGAGACATAACTGGCCCAGAGAGTTACAGGACTCAGTCAAAACAGAGAAGATCATCTGAAGGGCATGTCAAATTGATTTATTTATTTATATTGTTGTGTCAAACAGAATTTGAGTTTCAGTTTTGACTCCTTGAAATTAAAACTCACATCTGTTCTTTGCACGTGCACTCATTTTCTTCCGACTGTTTATCTTTAATGCGTTTATTTTCTGGAAAATAAGAAATTATTAAACTTAAGCTAAATATTAATTCAGTGATGTGCATCACTGTACATGTTTGGGTAAAAACAACCAATTTTGACACTTCCTGCATCTGCGGATCGACAGCACCTGTTGAAGTGTTTCACGTGACGCACGTGCAGAAATAGCAGGAAATGCGTGAAGTTAGGTCTAACAGTAAACGTCTGTTGAAACAAGGTGCCCCACCTTCAACTGGTCCATCACTCACAGTTTAAAGGTGCAGCTCCAAGGTGTCTGCTGTCTGATTTACAGTGTAATGGTCTTTTAATTCAAACAAAGCGGCAGTTAAATCCTAATTATGTGGCAAATAAAGGGCTTCAACTATTTAGCATTACTTAAATAAATCAGCAAAATGCGATATGCGCGAGACCCCGTAAGTTCCCTCGGCAAGTGCTGAACAAAAGCCGGGATCTGGGAGGAACTCCTCTCCATTTAGCGCGCGCTGTCGTTGCTCGGTGATAAAGGAATGCGGGTCGACAGGAGGGACAATAAGAGGAACAAAATGCCATTGTCTCTGGATGGATTGGATGGATCCACTCCTTTGAAAAAAGGCAAAGAATCAGAGGAGGATAAAAAAGAGGAGAGAGATGGGAGGATCCCGCTGTCACATTTCACCTCCAATGTCTCACTCCACCGCCCGAGGAAACCCTGCGCTTATCAAAACGGTTATTAATAAGGCCGCGTGTTGCAGGGGAGGGGTCCCGGGAGCAAATAGAAGGAGAAAAAAAAATCATTTTAGGTTTTCTCTCATGGCGATTTAGTCTGATGTCTCAATTTGACGGGATGGATAAAGCTCGCGCTGGAAATAAATATCTGACAGAGAGAGAGCTCAAGAAAACGTGAACAAACGTATCTTCATTTAAAAAATAAAAATGATCATATTTTGTATTAAGTCACATCAAAGTCATATAGTTTCTCTTTTTGTAAGCTGCCGTGCTTTCAAAATTTGAGAAACTCGTGGAGCAGGGGGCGGGAGAGCTTTGAGGTGTTCCAGGCTGGTGCGTAAAAAGCGCATCGCGTTTCCAAGCGCGCAGATGGAAAGTGACATCTGGAGAAGAAGCTAAATTAAATTAGAAGCTGGTTTCTTCTCTTGATGACTGCAGAGGAGGGGGGGAAAGTGCAGCACAAAGGACGTCAGGGTTTCAGCCTGGTGCGTGCAGTTTCAGGCATGTTGGAGCATTTAAGTTTTTTTTTTTTGTACTTTGCGCAATTTTTGTTGCTTAAAGGTTGCCCTAGGGAAGGATGGAGGAAGGTAAATTGCCTTCCCTTTTTCATTACAGAATTTTAGATAAAGAAATTTAGTTTGTGCCCTTAAAAATGAGCAAATGGAGTAAAATATTGGCCAAGTTTACATTTTATTTTGCCCAAAAGGTGTTAAAATAACAACTTAACAAATTCCTCAGGTGTGTATTTGATGTCATCACCCCATCCTGCACGTTGTGTAACGTTTTTCAGCTATCCCGCATTAATTTGTGTCGTTGCCTTCCAGTTGCAGCAGCCTGCTCCTGGAAAGCTCGCCCTGTCTCTCCTGCCCTCATCGCCCCCTCCGAGCCTTTATCTGCGCTTCCCAAGTGACCAAGAGACCAGCCAGCAGATTAACATAAAAATCTTATTCCGGGGGATAAGATTAGGAAACATATTACCCTCAAACGCGGCCTTGGCACGAGCGAGAGCCAGGCAAGGGATCAATTACTAAATTACTCCAACCTCTAAGTCGACATTAACGCAGAGAAATGCCATCGACCGGTTCTGAAATAAGATTTCGCTAAGATGTGATCATTACATCTCTTGCCAGTGTTCAAGAATTTGATTCATAAAATCGTCTGAAATGAGATGGAATTAAATTCTTATCGGGGCTCTTGTCATCGTTTCATCCCGCGCTGTTTAACGGTGGTCAATGGCCTTCATGAGATTTTCCCTGTAAATAAACTTAGTAATCGAATCCGCCTCTCCACGACACATTGTTGGGTTGTTATT